CTTAAAATCATTAACACAATTTAAAATCATTCCAAAAGGGAAAGAAAAAGAGGAGGACCCCCCTATATCTGTATGGCTCTGTTACTTACTACAGAATTTTATCACTTGAACACAAAACTTGGCTATTTTCCTCGAGGTCGTTGGGTTCTCATCTGTGAAGAGTTTCTCCAGCAGGCCTAATCCACGAAAGCTGCTGGTCTATCTAAAAGGGGAGGCATAATCTTATCCCATAGTTCTTCATAAAAAGGGCAACGGGAAAAGATGCGTCTCAGGGATTCCACTTCCACCTGTAGTGCGCGGGCAAAGTCTTTCTGCATTTGGGATCTTTTTCTATCTTGGTATATTGATGAGTGCTATAGTGCCGTATCCCACAGTGGTTCCCTGAACTGCTCCCTCTGAGCTGTGGAATGTTGCGAGCAAAAATTCTACTTCGTGAGCTCTGTTGCGAGCGAGCGATTTGGCCGCTGCATAAATCAGTTTGCTCTGGAGCCCATCCTTCCTGAGCTAAGGCAAGAATGGGTGAACCGGAAGCTAGAAAACTATGAGCTGCCTCACACTAACTCAGCTTAGAGGGAGCATTGGTGCCCTGGGCAGCCTGGAAAGAGAGCTTCCCCTCCTCCTAGATGGGCTCGTTCTTCCATGTTAGAGGCCCTGCCCAGTAATCCACAAATTTTTTTCTCGGGATTCAATTTCCACACTTGCTAATCCTCTGCTAGGCCGGAGGTCCCCAGTCTTTTTGAGCCTGCAGGCACCTTTGGCATTCTGAGATGGTATGGTGGGGGGCAGCCACAAAATGGCTGCCACGGGAGGCGGGGCCAGCCCCAAGAACGGCCCCCCCATGGCTTACTTAGCGGTTTTCCCTCTCTGTTGTGCTGTGGTGGTGGTGGCTGCCAAAGCAACATTTCTAAAAATTATAGACAGTCAATCAAATATCCAATGCCCAGTCAGAACCTTTGCTGGGCAAAAGACCCAGTTAGCCCTGCCTGCATCAGTAGGAACCACGTTGGGGACAACACTCACTCTAAGCCAGGGGTGTCAAACATGCGGCCCGGGGGCCAGATGAGGCCCCTGGAGGGCTTCTGTCAGGCCCGCAGTGGAACTGAACTGGCTTGTCTCCTGCTTCTTTCAGTTCTGCTGCTGCTGCGTCATTGTAGGTTTGCTGCTAACATGCAATCTTGAGTGTGCTGTTCAGGTGTGTAACAGCACAGACATTTTGATGCAATAATTCAGAGCAAGAGGCATCAGACACTGTTAAATAAACAAAATATTGCAAGAGTGCTCATGTTTTAAGCGTGTTTCTATTTTAAGTAAAAAAAAACCTTTGTGTTTGTGTCCTTCATAAAGTTTATGTCTCCGCTACCTGGCATTACATTTTATGACACACACAGCCCGGCCCAACAAGGTCTCATTTATGCCAGGATCCGGCCCTCATAACAAACGAGTTCGACAGCCCTGCTCTAAGCTGCGGAGTCTTGTGAGCAAAAATTCTACTTTGTGAGCCGCTGGCATTAAAGCTGCGAGCGAGCGATTTGGCTGCTGCATCAATCAGTTTGCTCCGGAGCCCCTCCTCCATGAGCGAAGAAAAAAATGTGTGAGCCGGAGGCTAAAAAACTGTGAGCTGGCTCACACTAACTCAGGCTTAGAGGGAACATTGGTTGGGGACCCCCGATCTCGGCATTGATTCAGCGTCTCAGAGGCCGCTTCTGGAAAGCAGAATGTGATTGGCGTGAAGCCGGCGCAGGTCTCCAGGCAGACAAACATAGGGCACTACTGTTGCCTGGTCCTCCTCCTGCTTTCCCCACCTCTCCTTGACGGAAGAGCATAGGATTGCTCATTCATATCCTGGGGGACCCAAAGCGACTTAACATCATCCTCTTCTCCTCCGTTTTGTCCTCACAGAATCATAGAGTTGGAAGGGACCTCCAGGGGTCATCTAGTCCAACCCACTGCACAAGGCAGGGAATTCACGGATACCTCCCCGCGCGCGCACACACACACACCCCCGGTGGCTTTTGTTCTATGCCCAGAAGATGACCAATTTTTCTCGTAGCCTGGAGAAAAATTGCTTCCTGACCCCAAAGTGGCGACTGGCATTTCCCTGGGCATGTAAGAAAGGGCCATGAGAACTAAGCACTGAGGCAACCCTCCCTGCCCTCCCTCTCAGGATCTGCCTCAGTTCACAGAACCAGCATGGCTGTCAGAGGGCCATCCAGCCTCTGCTTGAAAACCTCCCAAGAAGGAGAGCTCACCACCAGTGTTCCCTCTAAGCTGAGTTAGTGTGAGCTAGCTCACAGTTTTTTAGCCTCCAGCTCACACATTTTTCTCTTAGCTCAGGAAAGATGGCTCCAGAGGAAACTGATCCATGCAGTAGCCAAATTGCTCACTCACAACTTTAATGCCAGTAGCTCACAAAGTAGAATTTTTGCTCACAAGACTCCACAGCTTAGAGGGAACATTGCTCACCACCTCCCGAGGAAGCCTGTTCCACTGAATGAGGACCCGCTCTGTCAGGAAGTTCTTCCTCATGTTTAGCAAAAAACTCTTTTGATTTAATTTAAAACCCATTGGTTCTGGGGCAACAGAAAACAGCTCCGTCCCACCCTCTATAGGGCAGCCCTTCAAGTAGTTGAAGAACAACAACCCTGTGAGGTAGATTAGGCTGAGAGTGACTGGCCCAATGTCAGCCAGTGAGCTTCCACGGTAGAGTGAAGACTTGAACCTGGGGCCCTCCAGGTTCTAGCCTGACGCCCGACACCTGAGCCACAGCATCGCAGTGGCTGATAGCACAAATGTGGCCATCCAGAGCCCCCGTAGTGCAGCCACGTAGTTACCGATTCAGTCCACAGAGCAAAAGAGGATATTGGGGGGGGGGAGTAAGCGCTAGGCCAACCGAGAGGCAGTCCCGACCTCCGCCCATTTCCTGCTGGCTCGAAAGCCCTCCTATAGCATGAGCTTTGTTTGTTCAGAGAGTCTGTGGTGGATACGGAAAGAGGTGGGAGGGTCGGCTGCTCTGGGGGAGCGGAAGGAATCAGAAACAGTCGCCTTCCCTGCACTGGTTTCAGCTCCAGGGGATTTGGTTCCCTGGTGTTACCAAAGTCTGCCCTTGGCAGGGACTTAAAGATGCAGTCCCCTCCGTGCGGCTTCAGAATAGGGCCTGTGGCCATTCCCGCAGGCCGCTCTGTCCAATTTGTTTCCCGCGTGGATGGTGAAAGGCTTCTTGCCGTCCTGCTTATGGGCTACAGAGCAGGGCCGGGGTCTCCAACCTGGTGCCCAGGAGCAATGTTCCCTCTAAGCTGAGTTAGTGTGAGCTAGCACACAGTTTTTTTTAATCTCCACCTCGCACATTTTTGCCTTGGCTCAGGAAGGGAGGGCTCCAGAGCCAACTTATCTATGCCGCAGCCAAATCGCTCGCTCACAACTTGAATGCCAG